GGGATTTCACCATGTTGGTCAGGCTGGTCTCGAACACCTGACCTCATGATTTGCCCACTTTGGCCTCCCAAAGTGCTGAGATTACATGCATGAGCCACTGTGCCTGGCGAGTTTAATTTTTTTTTCACACTGTCTACATAACTAATTATGCATTCAAGAAATATTCATATTGTTTAGTTTATTACAGTGTAGTAAAATCATTTATAATTAGAATTGTTTATGAATTCATTGTGTTTAAGGTTTTTCAAATGTGAAAACAATTAGGTATGATTTGAAGTAAGTTCAGTTCTAGGACATTACCCACTGGTCTTCATGGTATTTCTGTAATGAGTAGTGTAAACCCGGGTCACCAGAATGGTGCAGACATGCTGATTGAATTAGAATGAGTTCAGCCTTGTTGGTAGACTATTGGTGTCCCAGAAGCTGATCATTTACTACAGCTTACTAAATGTTGTTCCATAATGACAGTGGGCACTTTTACCCGGGTTACCTTTTTCATTAATGTGGGCCTGTTGTGGTCTCCTGTTTTTCTTAAGCTATCCCAGGTGACAAGTGATTATTTCTTGCATGAATGAGATTCCCTTTTCTTCCCTCTGCCATACTCTCCCTACTGGAAGCAACATGCGGAAGGTAGAAATGATGACAATATACAAACATGTTTCCTTCATGTGGCCACCATGAGCAGCTTACAACATGGCCCACAAGTTTAGCACAATCAGGATAATCTCCATTTTGGTAAACACATTTACCATTTTGGTAAACACAAAGTCAACACATGAGTAACCTAATTTCATGAGTGATTTCCCACCACAGTCACACATGTTTCTACACTCAAGAGGAAAGTATTACACAGTAGGTGTGCAACAGACTGGGAATCCAGGGTATTATCTTAGAATGTTGCCTACCCACCTGAATAAACTTTAAAAAGTCTTTCTACTGTTTTGTTATCTACATAAACAAAAATGTCATCTGCAAATAATAATGAACTACTTTCCAGTTTTATTCATTACAAATATTTACTAACCTCTTTTTTCTGGCTTAAATTATTTTTCCTTTATGTGCCATTTTATACATTCACACACAAATAGAACAATGAAAATATATCCAATTATTCAATTTTGGTTTAATTTTTATTAAAATAAGCGTTAAAAATAATTTTTTGTGTGTGTTTGAAGAGGGCTTTTATTGTTGTACTCAAGAGTGTTATCTGTGGAGACAAAGTTGCCTGTGTTTTATTCTGGGGAGAATCCAAGCCATAAGCCATAACATTTTACATTAATAAATTCAATACAAAGCAGAAAGTATAAATTTGCTTTCAGCATATTCAAGGTGTTTAGTTTTCCATTAGTCACCTAATTAAATTTTTTTTCCAATAATTATGCTTTTCTTCTGAAAATATGTACGAATGCATACTCACCAAACACACTTCATGATTTCTTACACCTAAGGTTTATCTTCAGAGGAGTATGTGTATATTTCACTCTATGAAAATTAAAACTAAAAGTCTCTATGTTTGCAAGCAAAGAGACCACATGTTCAAAGAAAACTATATAACAAATATTTATTAATAATTTTTCAGGACTCAGAAATGTAAAAATTATATATATAT